GACAGAGACACAGTGAGGACGAGTGAGACAGAGACACAGTGAGGACGTGTGAGACTGAAGGAGGTTCAACCAGTTGTTCATCCACCAGAACCAGATGAGAAGAACACCAGAACTTCTACTGACCAGTGATCACACATGTTGTTCTAAATTAAACTTTGGTACGAACAGTGTTAAATAATGCAGGTCTCTTTCCAGATACTTAAAGAGAGTTGGTGCCGTTATCAGAAAACAGTAAAAGCTGCTAAATGCAAATTCTTCTCTGATATAATTACCTCAAACTCTCACAACCCACGTGTCCTCTTCTCCACCCTAAACTCTGTTCTCCACCTCACTGAACCACCACCTCTGGAAGCCTCGACTGAGCTGTGCAACAACTTCTTACATTTCTTTTTGGAACAAATTGCGACCACCAGGGCTCTCATTTCCCCTCCAACTCATGACCCATCCATTCCACCTCAATCTGTAGCTCCTTTTGACCATTTTGAACCCATCACTCTATCTTCTCTAGAGCAGGTCATGTGCAGCTCGAAACCTTCTGGCTCCCCCTTTGATGTGGTCCCCCCTCGACTACTAAAGGAGGTTTTTCTTACTCTAGGTCCGTCCATTCCATTTGGCGTGGTGCCAAAATCCTTTAAACATGCTGCTGTCCAGCCTCTCCTGAAAAAACCAAACCTTGACCCCTCAGTCGTTTCCAACTTCCGGCCTGTCTCCAAACTCCCATTTGTTTCTAAAGTACTGGAGAAAATAGTTGAGTCCCAGTTGAAGTGCTTCCTGGAGGATCACACCATCTTAGAGCTTTTCCAATCTGGCTTTAAACCTCTCCACAGCACTGAAACTGCCCTGCTGAAGGTCTTTAACGACATCTTCAGATCCACAGATACCGGTGATTCTGTGCTGCTTGTCCTGTTGGACCTCACAACCGCCTTTGACACCATCGACCATGAGATCCTCATTGCTAGGTTGGAGCAGTGGGTGGGCGTCACAGGATCAGCTCTCAATTGGTTCAGATCTTACCTCGCTGACAGATCCTTTTGTGTTTCCATCAAGGATTTTAGTTTCACAGAGGCAGAGCTTAAATGGGGGGTTCCGCAGGGGTCCATCCTGGGTCCCCTCCTATTCTCTTTATACCTGCTGCCGCTTGGTGCTATTTTACGGAAACACAACATGCCCTTCCACTTCTATGCCGATGACTGTCAAATTTACTTCCCCCTAAGACACAATGGTACATGCTCTATTCAACCGCTGCTCGACTGCCTGGCTGACATCAGGGACTGGATGGCTTTAAACTTCTTAAGTTTCAATGAAAAGAAGTCTGAAGTCATGTTGTTCCCTCCCAACGACACGATCACAAACCACTGCATCGACCTCTCCGCTCTAACCCTGTCAGAAAAACAAAGAGTCACTAATCTGGGAGTGATAATGGACCCTTCCCTGAAACTTAACAATCATGTAAACATGATTAAATCATGCTTCTTCCAACTGAGGCGGCTGTCTAAACTGAAGCCCATATTGTCCAAAAAGAACCTGGAGACAGTAATACATGCATTCATTACATCTAGGCTTGATTACTGCAATTCACTCCTGTTTGGTATCAGTCAGACCTCCATTGCATGACTACAACTGGTCCAGAATGCAGCAGCCCAATTTTTAACCAGTACAGGCAAAAGAGAGCACATTACACCAGTTTTGGCCTCACTGCACTGGTTACCGGTTCACCTTCGAATCCAGTTCAAAATACTCCTGTATGTCTACAAATCACTGAACAGTCCCCCCCCATCTCTCTGATCTGCTACAACCGTATGTCCCACCACGCTCCCTGAGGTCAGCGGAGCAGTTGCTCCTCACAGTTCCAGGAACTCGTCTTAAGCGCAGAGGTGACAGGACCTTCTCTGTAGCAGGACCAAGACTTTGGAATGAGTTACCTCTGCTTGTCAGACAGGCCCCCTCCCTCTCGGTTTTCAAGTCCCGTTTAAAAACTCACTACTATTCAGTAGCTTTCAACACCAGATGATCTGTGTTTTGATCCTGTATGCTCCACACTGGTTAGTCGTCATTATCTGCATCGTTTTTATGTCTATATTCTGATTTACCTCATTTTGTATTTTGCTTTGTGTGTTACCTGTTGTTCTGTCTGTACAGCACTTTGGTTGGCCTTGTAGCTGTTTTAAGTGCTCTATAAATAAAGTGGTATGGTGTGGTAAATAAGACATGTTCATGTTTGTGCTGATGTTCAATGTTTTATGTTATGAGTGCTTAGTGTATATTTAGTTGATGTTTTTCTTAGTTCATATCTTAGATGTTATTACTGTTTTTCTTATACATTTTATTGTTGGATGTAACTGGGACCCTGTGGACATAATTTCGCTCCACCACATGTACCACATGAGGAGCGAATGACAATAAAGAAACTCTGACTCTGACTCTGAAGAAGTGGAAGAAGGAACAGAAGGAAGAAAGATTAATAACAAGATGGAGATTTGGACATACGGGACTAAATTATTCATTATTTCAAATAAAGAAACACAACACAGGAACATGTGGACAAGATGAAACTATTCAACATGTGATACTGGAATGTTAGAAATATGAGCAGAATGAAGTTTTATGAAGAGAGAGTTTGAAAAGATAAAAGAAAAACTTAATATAATAGATGCATTACAACACAACTTGGAGAGCAAACATATACAAATTATAATTAGATATTTTAAGACAACAAAGTTGATTAATAGAATTTGAAATATACATAGTTTACTCACACATACACATAGAATTATATCATGATGAATCACACTCCATACCAGTGGTGGCGGTGATGCTCACCTGCAGTTTTTTACCAACCGCCATTAAACTCAAGAAGAAGAAGAAGAAGAAATTATTTCCGGTAACAAGCAGGATGGCTTCTGGCAGCGGGGTGAGTTTATGCCTTCGGTTCATACTTTACTTTAATAATAGTGGTTAAACTTATACAAAGAGTTTCGGTTGAAGTTCCTGTCAGCTTCAGACTTTCCGCTGATCAGAGCCGCTCACAGCTAGTCAGGCTAACAGCTAGTCAGGCTAACAGCTAGCCAGGCTAACAGCTAGCCAGGCTAACAGCTAGCCAGGCTAACAGCTAGCCAGGCTAACAGCTAGCCAGGCTAACAGCTAGCCAGGCTAACAGACAATGAGCTGAACATTTTGTGAAACATGTAGCGATTATTTCGGACAGTGTTTAAGTTTTGTTAAGCCAGTTTGTTGGTATCGTTTATTTGTGTGTGTTTTCTCTAAAGACAAATAACGTCACCAAACGGTTAACGTAGCATTAGCTCCGCAGCTTAAACAAAACTTCCGGCTTGTCAAAATAAAAGCTACAAAACCGTAAATAAGTTCAGAAAGGAAACACTATTTTTACCGCTTAGGTTCTGTAGTATTTCTGAGTCAAAATATTTTGATGTTTAATAACTCCCCTTGTGTCAACTCGTGGTTGAAAGAATTATTAAGCTCTGAGACGTCTTGACTTTTTCATTCAGTTTTGTTTCTTACGAGCTTCAGTTTGTAAACTTGTTAAAAAGTGATCAGAAGTAATCAAGTTAACGAGACGCATACTCTGCAAGTGGTTCTGGACATGGTCTGTGTGGTCCGTTTGAGGAGAACCGCTCGTGAAGTCTCTTTGATGTTTTTGTTTCTAACAGTCGAGTAAAAACGACTTCCGGAGAAAATGGGACAAGGACGAATACGAGAACCTGGCCCAGAAGCGCCTGGCGGAGGAGCGGGACCGCGAGAGGAGAGATGGTGAGATGTTCTGCAAAGACGGGTCGTTTTGTTCTGAAAAACTCCAATTTTAACAGGATTAAAGATCACATGACTTCACAGGAAAAGTGGCTCCGCCGGTGAAGCGGGACCTCCTGCGTCACCGAGACTACAAGGTGGACCTGGAGTCCAAACTGGGCAAGACCATTGTCATCACCAAGACCACTCCTCAGGCGGAGATGGGCGGGTCGGTTCTGGTTTTTAAACTTTGGACTGTCACAATGTTTCAGTGGTTGACTTAAAAAAACAAAAACTGGTTTCTTCAGACTCATTAGGACTTCCTGATGTTTCAGGAAGTAAACAGGAAGTGATGTCAGGTTCTCTTGTTGCAGGTATTACTGTAACGTCTGTGACTGCGTGGTGAAAGACTCCATCAACTTCCTGGATCACATCAACGGAAAGAAACGTGAGTCCTGCTGCAGGTGGACAGGTCCAGCTGGGTCTGGGTCTCATGTCAAACTGTAGACTGACGGGACGAACTGAGAAAAGTGTGAGCACAGAAATACTCCGGTTATCAAACTGAGCACGTTTCTGCTGAGACTCCGCCCACCGACACACCTACACATGTGTCCCTGACACATCTCACAGACGTGGAGCCCCTGCTGGGTATTCCACATGGAATGCTCCACATCTGTGAATGACGTTATAACTTCACGATCATATTTACTTGTGTGTGTGTGTACCTGTATGTACTTGTGTGTGTACTTGTGTGTGTGTACCTGTATGCACTTGTGTGTGTACCTGTGTGTACTTGTGTGTGTGTACCTGTATGTACTTGTGTGTGTGTACCTGTATGTACTTGTGTGTGTACCTGTATGTACTTGTGTGTGTGTGCCTGTATGTACTTGTGTGTGTGTGTACCTGTATGTACTTGTGTGTGTGTGTACCTGTATGTACTTGTGTGTGTACCTGTATGTACTTGTGTGTGTGTACCTGTATGTACTTGTGTGTGTGTGTACCTGTATGTTCTTGTGTGTGTGCCTGTATGTACTTGTGTGTGTACCTGTGTGTACTTCTCAGACCAGAGGAACCTGGGCATGTCGATGCGTGTGGAGCGCTCATCTCTGGACCAGGTGAAGAAGAGGTTTGAGGTGAACAAGAAGAAAATGGAGGAGAAGCAGAAGGAGTACGATTTTGAGGAGCGCATGAAGGAGCTTCGGGAGGAGGTGAGACATGAGGCCACGCCCTCTGACGGTCATGTGACCTCATAGATTCAAACCTTCCTTCAGGAGTCACGATGAACTGAGTGTTGAGAACTGCTCGTCTCATGAACAATCTTTGTTCTTCAGCCCTGTTAAATCTGCCTCTTTTCTCCTCCTCCTCTTCCTCCTCAGGAGGAGAAGGCCAAAGCCTACAAGAAGGAGAAGCAGAAGGAGCGTAAGCGGCGGGCAGAGGATGACGTGGACTTCGAGGAGGACGATGAGATGGCAGCGGTGATGGGTTTCTCCGGTTTCGGCTCGTCTAAGAAGAGCCACTGAGGCTCGGCTGTGACACGGACCTGCTTCCTGCTGAGCTGCAGAACCGGACCCAAGGAGTCCTGATGCTGTGGTCCGGTCTCCACCATCCTGGAGGAACGTTTGTTTCCGGCCGGGCTTTTATTTTGGTAGTTTTATCCATCACTTCCTTCAGCCACAGGATGTTCAGAGACAGGAAGTGGTTCTGACCAGGCGGAGAACCTGAGCTGGGGCAGAACCTGCAGTGAGGTCCATGATTAGAGAATCTGACGTGATGTTCGAGTTCAGTTCATGAAAACATTTTTCCATCACAGAAGCAGCTGTTGAGTCTTTGTATTTAAGTGTTTCGGCGCACGGCATCATGGGACATTGACATTTTAATAAACTTTATTTCTGAAGCTGTCCTGTTTTTATCACCACTAAACGTTCTTACCAAACCAAAATTAAAACAAATATTCTTCAGATGTCTCCTCTGCTGCTTCCAGCTGAAAGCCCACCTGGAAGTGACATCACACTCACCTGCTCACAGGTGAAGACTCTGTGTATTCATTCAGAACAGTTCGGGGAAACTGAGCCGAGCTTTAGACTGTAGAGTCGTCACGGCAAAAAAAACAGAAAAACCCGACAGGAAGTCCAGCAGTTTGTCCTTCAGCAAGAAAAAACTGAGGTCCATGCTGAAGTAGCTGCTTCAGCTGTTTCAGCTACTTTAGGAGTGAGCTTGTGGCACAGGAAGCACCCTGATCTGCTTCTTGCTCCTCGGACTCTCCTGGTTCTGTCAGCAGGAAGAGACAGGACCTGCTTACAGGTGGGCTATATCATAGATATAATCACTAGATCTCATATAATCACTAGATCTCATATAATCACTAGATCTCATATAAACACTAGATCCCTCATCGTCTGCTGCGGCGCAGGATTTTCGGCCGCCATCTTGGGGCGGTCGTCCTTATTCAGTTAAATCAGAAGATGTCTCAGCACTTCGCAGCTTCTTTCTGTTCAGATCGACGG